GTGTGTCGCCCATGTTGAATTTTTGCGTGGTTTGAAGAATCCATGCTCCACATGCTTTCATCACCTTTCATCGTGTTGCCACATGCTGCTGCCCAACCTCCCTGTTTTTCAGGCTGCAGATAAATGGCTGCCACCTCCGTGTTTAACATCTGTGTGTTTGCTGGCTGGGCTGATGTCACCAAGGATACGCTGTCAAACACGGCGTACACAAACGGCAGAGCTGGAAAAACTCCAACAGAGCGCGTTCACACCAAACCTGCCTCCATTGATGCAGTGAGTGTAAGTGCTGGGGGGTCTGTTTACACTGGGATACACTGCCAACATGTCAGCGCCGTCGGCCCGCTCAGAACGCACATTTTTCCTCAGCTTTCCTCACTTCCTGCTGGGACTGTTACTGCTTTGAACCAACCTGCCTCCTTATTGTGTCCAGAAATAGTTTTCCTATCTGCGTCTTCCAGCTCATATTCCTGTAAAAACTGCAAAAACTCAAAATCTTAACACATTTCTTTGGTCTGGTTTCTAGTGGAAACATGTTAATTCACTTGAAATGAGGCAAAACTAATTTAAAAATTTTTTGGGGAAACCCAGAAGACCTACAGAGTCAAAAGGGTTTTACTTTTGAAACTCAGGATTTTTTTTGTTTTTTGTTTTTCAAGAAAATTTGTAAAATTAAATGTCTGAATTTTTTCTAGCTTTTTTATTTTCAAGCTCAGACATTTTTATTTGTTTTTTAAAAAATGTATCAGATTAATGTCAAAATTTCTGAAAATTTTCTAGCAAATTTTTCACTTTTCAAGGATTATTCAAGATTATTTCAAGATTTTAGAGATTTATCTAAAGAATTCTGAATTTTTTAGCAGAAATGTTCTCTTCCTTTCCCTGTTTTCTATCTGCAAAGGCCTGAATTCACCGTCGTAGTTTGAAAGTTTTCCTCAAACGTCAACGTCAACATTTTCCAAGTTGTCTGACTTCTTTACATGACGATGAAAATGTCATTTATTGTGCAAGTAAAATGCTGCAAATGTGAATTTTAAGGGATTTAAAGCTGTGATGTTGGAGAATAACATCAAAAATGTTATTTTAATTTAATGAGCTTTAATAAAGCCCTCTTTCTTTCATTTTTTGATCCCTAACCTGCAAAGCAACTTTATCTCTTGAGGAGTTTAATCTTTCTGGATGAATAATGAACCAAAAATGAAGTCGTTTCCCGTCTGCAGACTGTTGTGCTGCAGAGAGACGAATCAGAAACATGGGCGCGATCTGACCGTAACGCTCATCAAACATCGATTCTTTGCTGTTTCTGAGACGTTCAGACTTCTCAGATTTCATCGCTGCACAGAGACGACGCATCAGCGGCAATAAAATTACTAGATTCGATTTGCAAAGTGATGCTGTGGAATTTTTAAAAGCTTTATTAAACATGAGCGAAATCCCTCCTCGCACTGCAAAAACTCAAAATCTTACAAAGAATTGGTATTTAGTTTCTGCTGCAAATCAAGTCAGTTTCAGCAAGAAATAGGAGTTTAAGTCAATAATTCTTCATTTTATTGAATAAGAATTAGTTCTGCAGGCAGATATTTCACTAACAACATAAGTGAAATAATCAAAATCAATATTAAGGAAACTAGGCAAAAATATTTGGTAAGAATTTGTGTTTTGAGGTGTAAATCTTGACCTGTCTTCACTTTCACCTCGGATGCAAAAAGCCTGAAGCAAAAAGCCACTTAAACTCAACTGTTAAATCCAAACCCTGGAAGGTTTTTAGTTTCCAGATTTGAGCCAAAAGGAAATCTTAAAATGTTCCTCAGGCAGCCAGAAAATAAATCTGCTCGTGTTTTTCCAGTGAAACGCAGCAGAGCCAGAAAAAGGAGCTGGTTTATCAGCAATGTGTCGCCTTGGCTGGCAGCGTTTCACCAAGAGGAAGAAGATTCACAGTTTACACTGAAAACATGGAGAAATCCCAAATAAACCACGTCTCTGACAGAATGCACTGTAAAAACATCACCAGGTGATTTGGTCAGGTTTCAGAGCAGACAAAACTAACTTCAAGTCACTTTCCAGCAACAGATGAGTTTGTTTTGAATCAATCATTATTTCATATTGATGGAAGTTCTTGTGCCTCCAGCAGATTATTAAACTTAAGCAACATTTTTCCAGTGGAAGTAAAACTTCTCATCAATATTAAGGAGTTATTGACCTAAAACAAGGTCCTATGTCTTGCTGAAAAGTTTCTTGGTGAGGTTTATTGTTTTTATGATGCATTTATGAAAGAAACAGAAAAACGTTGCGAATCTGATGGATCAATAATTTTCAGTTGGGTTCAGACATGCAGCATCAGACTGACCGTGTGGAGGATGATGGAGACGAGCAGCAGCAGAAGGAACATGGTCGCATCTCATCCACCTGCAGTTCACCTGGCTGCTGTCATCCTGAGCGGTCCGAACCGAACCGAACCGAACCGCAGGCTGGCTGGTGGGAGACCTTTACGCGCGGTTCAGTCCCGGTCGCTCTTCTGTTCACCAGCGCCTCAGATGTGCAGACCGAACCGAATCGAGCCGCGAGAGTTTGCTAAATCGCAGAAAAGTTCAGCTGAATGTGCATAAAGTCCCGAAGAGGCGGAACTCTGTGGTTCTGCTGGTTCCGGTTCTCCTTCTGCATTTGAAGAGCGTCACCGACAAATGGACCCCGCTGGCCCCCAGAACCAGAGAGGACCCAGAAGTCAGAGCAATAAAGCCGACAGCGCCCTCATGCGGCGCCTTCTGCTCACAGCAGAATAACAGCAAACTATCAGTTTATTTAGAATATCAGTTAATAATTAAAAAACAATATGTTCAAAAAAGAACATTAATAAAGATTTTAATGAGAACACAATCTTTTAAAATGCCCTAGTTAAAGCCCAAGCCTAAATCCACTGAGCAACAAGGAAATACTTTTTTTTAGCTAATAAAAAAAAATTCACAGTAGCAAATAAAAAAAAAAACAGTAAAAATCAACGAGGAAAGTTATTACAAAAAGAAAAAAAACTTGAAATAATTAAATTATTTTATTAATATTTTACCCAAATATGCTACTTTTAAAATATTTTTGTCAAATACTATCAAGTAGAAACATTTATTTTAGTATCAGTTATGCTATGGAGCAAAGCTTAGCAAACTTAAAATATTTCTGTAAATGAGTTTAATTAAGATGCTAATTGAACAGCTGAACTGCTAACTTTGCTACTCAGCTAATTGGAAGATTAACTTCTGAACACAAACACAATAATTTAGCTGTGCAGCCACATACTTAAAATACCCAAACTTTCAAACTTAGCATGATTTGAAATGTTATAATTGTAAAACACTGATTTAGATACTTGCATAATTAGACGGACAGGGAGGAAGTAACAGTTACTGAAACGTTTACCTGGTAGAAATAGCTGACATACTTTGAATGCTAACCATGCTAATCAGCCTAACTGAGTGACTTCTATACTTTAAACAACATAAAATTATGCTAACTTTGCTAGTTAGCAGATGTAGCTCAACATGAACAGATTGCTAATTGGTAAAAATGGTTAATATGATAATTGACATAATTTGAAGACCATCTATACACTATAACTGAATACTTCTGTCACTTCAAATAGTTAAAGATATTAACTTCTTAATTAAAATGCTAATTCTGCACCTAGCCTAATAAAAATAATCACAGTGGTACATGACATAATTTGAAGGCTAACAATGCTAATTAGCTCAGGTGAATATTAGGATGTTATTCAGCCAAACTGAAGGGTAACTTAACTTGGTATAGTAACAATAATAACGTAGCTGTGCAGCATAATAAAAACTATAAATCTGCATATTTAACCTGCTAAAGTTCTTTCAATTTGAAATTCACCGCATGCAGGATGTAAAAATGTGAAGTTATGATGCTAACATTACTTTGACTTTTCACCAATTCAATTTGAGATATAAATTAACCCATTTCCTCAGATTAAAAAAAACCATCATACAGGATTCTGGTATCATTGTCTGGGTTTCCACTTTATTTGTTTACGTTTCAATTTCAGCTGAAGATTCATTAATAAATCGTATTGAAAAGAATCAGGATCGTCTCTGCTGCAGCGAATGAAAACAATCGGCCAGTCGCTTTAGCCAATCAAAGCACTTATTGCACTGTATAGTGTGACAGGGAGCCGGTAGCAGGCTCTTATAAAAGTGTCATTTCCTCTTTTCATCATGTGTACAAAACAAGTCACACACACACTTTTACCGTACAAAATCAACACTATTTACATACAACACACACGCGTGCAGTCTCTCTCCCATTCAGCCCTGAACACAGACGGTCCTCCGGGTTTCTGACGGGACGCCATCGATACGCTGCTACCAACAATCCAAACAAACCTCTGATATGCATAATTTTTTCTCCGATGATGTGAAACAAAAAGCGATGAGACGTTTTTCACCCGCAGGCGTGTAAACGAAATTTATCCAAACATCGAGATTGTTGAGTAAAACGCTTTACATGGGCAGGAATCCTGCCATAAAATGACATTTATTTAAACTCTTCATAGATTTATTTATTTTTCATCATCTGTTAAAACTTCTATAACCTCAGGAAATGTTTGAGTCAGTGCACATCAGGCGGTAGCTCCGAGGTTGTTCTTTACTGAGGATTCCTGCTCAAAATGCACAAAAAAAACTATCATTTTTATGATTTAAAGGTTTGCAAGAAATATTTTGACATCTAAAAAACATTTTCTATGCAACAAAAATGAAAAGAAAACATTTTTAGACATTCAGTTCTTGAAAATGTCTCACTGCTTAAAAAAGCAGCTTGTTTCACGTCTTAAAGGTCCTGTCTGAAGGACGTAGTGCCATCTAGTGGCCCAGATAGCAAACTGCAGCCAGCATTTAAACAGCAGCTCTACTTTTGTCCTCTTTAGGCCACCGTAGCAGCATTTCTGAAGGGGCTCACTCTGGGAAACGTGTAATAAATGCAGTAATGAGAACATTATGTATAGATATGATTGTAAATGCTGCGATGTGTTGAGAATCCACAGAACAGTAGAGAACAACCTTGGATGATTATTGCTACAACGGGAGCTTCTTCATGTAAACTTCATCTTCCTCTTCACCCCCACAGCTTCCAGATGTTTGTGCCAGGACAAAATTTTACTTCCAACCTGGAAGTTAAACGTTTCAACGGAAACCTTTAATTTAATAATTTAATTCATTTAAATAATCTGAAGAAACACCCTCAACACGATAAATGTTTATTTAAATAAAGTCATTTGGTTTATTTTTGTTCACATGTAAAAACCTCTGCAGTAACATCTGGATGCTGAAGATGTATTCTCTCTAAAACTTTATTTAAATAATGATAGCTTTATTTATGTTATATTCACACAGTGCACTTTGCTCAGCGAGTTGCTTTTGGTGCTTCAGGACTGAATTTCTGAGTTTGCTCACATACAGAAATGTTTTTTATTGTTCCTGTTGAAATTTGCAGCATTATTTTTGGTTCAAACCGACCGCTTTAAGACGCTTTTCCTTCTTTTTGAGATAAAACAAACTTTTAGCCCCCAACAGAAAGAAGCTGCAGCGATTCACACAGTTTTAGATTTTTCTTTGATCGTTTTGAATAAAATCTGCGTTTAAAAGCACAGAAAATGTTCCTGTCGCACATCGACACAGACGGGTGAACACCACTCACACACACTAAAACACACACTCAGGGTGCGGGTGGAGAGAGCTGCATTAGGGGCTACTACACCTCGCTGTTTAGTTCCTCTCCATATAGATTATTATGTTTATGTACAGTATTTATAGTTTTTACAATACTCTGACGCCCCCTAGTGGTGGAACTGAGACAGAAGCCACAGATTTGAACACATTGCTCCTCTAAGGCTTCCTGTTGGCCGCGGCGTCGAGCGAGGGGTTAAAAACGATCCATCGGCTGGAATCAGCCGGCGAAAACAAACGACTGCAGAACACGTCAAATCAACGCTCAAAAATACAGTACATCTGGATTTCTGGGAAATTAATGAACAACGACGGCGATATGAGCAGCACACACACACACACACACACACACACACACACACACACAACACCACACACACACACACACACACACACACACACACACACACAGCCAGGCTACATGTTGTAGGCCACGTAGATGGGGTCCAGCTGGTCTTGTAGGAAGCCGTCGCGGAGGTGCATGCGCTGCTTTTCGCCGCGGGAGTTGATGGGTATGACGCCGACGTCTGTCACCACGACGACGCCCACGATCAGGTAGTGCTCCTCCAGCACGGCCTTGGTCACCATAGGAACCAGGTCCAGGGCCTCCTGCTCTGAGCCCTCCAGCTCCACCACCACCACCAGCAGGTTGGTCCAGGTGAAGACGGCGCTGGCGGAGACACACAGCTTTAAGGAAAACACAACTTCCTGTTTGCAGAGCAGCGGCTTAGAAGACAATTTATTCTGACGATTAATCGATTAATCGGCAGAGAAGCTGAGATTTAAGATTTTCATTTGATCATTTAGCCTTTTCTGTGCCATGATTGAAAAGTGCATCCAACTTTTTTGGCATGAAATAAATATTTATTGCCTAAAATGCCATGAAAACAAACATTTGTCATGATTTGTGCTAGCAGCTTCGTGCTTCAGATGACGCTGTCTGACCCGAACGCGTCTCCCTGGCGCTGATGGACCTACCACTCCATGATGCTCTTGTGTGCGCGGGTGACGGAGGTCTCGATGTCGATGGGGTGGTACCTCATCCCCCGCAGCTCCATGGCCTCCTCCAGCGCCCCGACCACGAACAGCGCGTCGTGCCTCTCTGCTCACAAACCCCAAACACAGTCAGTCCTGCTGCGTCCGCCCAACGTCTCCCAGGGGACGGACGCGTCCTCACCTCCGTTGGCGTCGGTGAGCTCGGTGCGGCGGAGGAAACCCAGGTAACCGGTTCTGGCCCAGACCGTCTGGGGTGTCTCCGAAGCTGAGCCTGGAGCTGAAATGGTCCGACTGCAGCACTTCCTCGCCGTAGCCGCTGTAGTAGCCGCTGCCGTTGTGAGCGCTGTGGACCCAGATCTGCAGGAGGAGAGCAAAACACATCAGACTGAACCGACAGGTCCAACAGAGGAACCGCGCAAACGATTAATCATGATTAATCAATTAGTGAAATTTAGTTAAATGAAAGATCTGTATAATGTGTCAATATCTTTTGTTTGGATAATTGATCAATGATCAGAATAATCGATCAGTAGAGCTGCAGACCTCTCCCAGGTGGGAGTCTCCCAGCGGTCCTTTGGTCTCCGGGTTGGCGATGATGATTCGGACTCCCGGCAGGATCTGGGAAAATAAAAGCACCACTTAACCTTCCTTTCCTCCTTTAAGGTCCATAAAGAGCCTGGATTAATATTCAAGCTTCTATTTTCACCACTAAACTGAAGGTCCTGATAAAATGGATCCGGGCCTCTCAGCTCAAACTGTTTATTCACTGAATGTGGGCGCAGAGCCGATGAGTTCTTCCTGCTTCTTTTCTCCCCGGATGAGTGGAGAAAGGGAGGCTGATGGTTTCCTGCTGGACTCAGACCTGCAGTCTGTTGTGACTCACTGCATGTGGGAGGACGTGCAGAGAAAAGCAGCAGAAATAGTCCCAGAACCGGCTGCCACTCCTCATCTCTGCGCTGTCAGCTCACAGCTTTGTCTCTGATTTCTGCCACAACTTTTATCAAAACTTTATTTAAATCTTTAGTCACGACTCGTCTCCCTGCTGGAAATGAAGATTTATGGTCCAGCTTCACCCACCTTCCCAGACTCCATCAGCGGCAGGCTGTGGGGCGAGCCTCTCTCCACCAACCGGACCCTGAACAAGAAACGCATCAGATCAGGGTTAAAACCGTTCCCTCAGCAGAGGAGGATGATGGGAAGCAGCGGCCGGACCTGTCATGGCGCAGCGCTCTCATGTCCACGTACACGGTGGTGGGTCGGGTCCTGAGGTCCCCTGCAGCCAATCACAGGGCAGAAACAGGCCGGCTCACAAACTATACTTGTGTTTTTAGTTTTAAAAAGTGGATAACTTGTGCAAAAGCACTTTTACAGATAAGACTGATGTGAGCATTTATGTTTGTGACCAAAGGATAATAAATAAAGAGATCGGATGACAGAAATGTTCACAGCTTCGTTCTCCTGTTCAAACAGAAAAGTAGGAATAAAGAAATTATCCTTGGTTATGAATCCTCATGTCCTACTGATTGCTTGATCTTTAGTTTTTTACATAAATAAATAAAATAAAGCAATTTACAGTGGAGCGTTTTATCCCTGTCTGCTCTTGCAACTTGACAAAGTTATTTAGTTTAACTCTCATGTTGTTTATTGATACCAAAGGGAAATTAAACGCTGTAACTCAAACTAAGAGGCTGATGATTGTAGCAGTCTGTTGTGCAGCCCATCTAAAGACGCCTCTGACCAAAGATTGCTCCTCAACCAGCCAATCACAAACAGGTATTCTTCAGCCAATCAGAGGGTATTAACTGCAAACGTGTTGCTGGTGCGTTAACGTGTCCTAGGCGTGTTATGGACGTCTTCCTCGCGTGTTCCTGGCGTGTTTACCTGCAGACAGATGGCCAGGTTGACCCTGCAGCCAAACGCCGTGCTGACGGAGCGAGGGTGGAGGCCCAGGTCCTTGAAGAGCTTGGAGAAGGAGTGTGTGAGCGCCATCCTGGGTCTCTCCTCTGCCACCACCACGCAGGCCCGGACCCGGGACAGGTCCAGACCCCGGGCCTGGATCCGACACAGGCAGGACACAAACAGAAGCTTTTTATAAAACGGGAACGCATCAGTTATTTCTGCCTTTCGCTCAAATCAAACCAAACCCCAGGAGACGCATCTGCTGTGCAGCGAGGAAAATGTTTTATGAAGAAACAGCCAGAAATAAAAGCCGCTTCTCCTCCGCTCTGCGTCTCCATGGCCACGTAAAGACAGATGATCTCTAAAATTAACTTCCATCAGTGACCAATCGCTGCGGACGCCTCCGGCTGAGCAGATGGAGTTCATTAAACCGAGCCGGAGGACCGGGACAGGTCCAGTCCTTACACAGAACCGTTGGGTCTCTGAAAGGAATCCATCTGAATCTGAACTGTTTCAAAGGTTTTGAAACAAACATTTCTACTGATTTCCACTGGTTTGTGATTTCAGATGAACGACTCCACCCAGAGAGAAGCACAGAAACGGGCCGGGTCAGGGTTCTGCATCATCCTGACCTTCAGTGCTTCGGTCTGCAGGCCGAGTCCTTTGGTGCAGAGCTCCATGACGCTGTAGGAGCAGAAGGTGTCTCGCACCCTCAGCTGGCTGACGGCCAGCAGCCACAGAGCCGGGTTGGTCTCCAGCTCCACCGGCGGGATCAGGATGGACTGGTGGCCCGAGTAAACGCTGCGGACGACACGCAGAGTCACATCCAGGCACAAAGCTCCCGTCGGGGGGAATCCTGTTTTCACCGACCTGCAGAGACACCAGAGGACGAAGCCGAGGCCGCAGTACGGGTCCAGGCAGATGGCCACCTCTCTGGACGGGTACAGCTCACACTGCAGCTTCACCGAGCGGCAGAAGGCTCCCACTGCATTATGGGACATCTGGACGGGGACGAATGGAGACATGAAACTAGAGTTAGTTTTCTTTTTACAACATTTAGGCTTTAAACAGTTAAATTAAATCTGTACACTGTACAAACCTTTCACACAAAGAGGCCAAACCGGCAAATTTAACCGAGTGACAGGTCACAAAATGAACACAATAACAATTTACTTTATAGAGCTCAACGAAGAATGGCATTTTAATTAAAGATCAAAAATATAAAAAGGGTTTCGGATTGTTGCCTCATGAAAAGAAAAACAGACAACTTCCAAATTTAATAAATCTTTGATGACAGCTGAACTTTGACCCCAAATCCCAGAGGAACAGAAAACAAAGCTTCATGGTTGCAGAGCAGAGAGGAGAGGAAGTTCAAACTAAATCTTCCCTTCATCATATTGAGTCAGAAACAAATCCTCTACTCCAACATCTCTCTAAACAAATGGCCAGAGGCGCAGCAAAAGCAAAGGAGATGGATTATCAGAGCAACTGATGGTGCCATTTATTTATTGAGCTGTTAGCATATTTTAATAGCAACAGTCTTCAGTCAGAGGCGTCTTTATATTTGTTGTAAGACTGACTGCTGCAGCAGATCCTTCCAGCATCACCATCTACGACTTTTCAACCTGATTAACGACATTTAATTTAAATATTTCTGAATTCAATTCAAAACAATAATAATTTGTTTTTTTCCCCACTCACTGAATGATTAAGTTATTAAATTAAAATATTCAATGTGAGGCTACTGCAATAAAAGTCAAATTTAAACATTTTTTAAAACATTTTTCCCTAAATGTGCAAAAGCATCTGCATTATTCTGCTTTATTCTAATCAGATGTTGAAGTAAAAATCTGGAATAATTTAAATATTTCTAGAGCCCAAAGTTTTCAGTCTGCTGTAAATAAAACTCCCTTCATGTCCTGTTTAGATTCCCATTACAGTCGTTGAACCGAGGCTCCCTGTGGTGTGAAGGGAGAGGATGAGAGTAAGAGCAGGCCCGGTTCTGCCCGGTTCTGCCCGGTTCGGCTGACCTGGACTCCGGCCAGCATGCCGGTGGTGGACACGCTGAAGTCCAGGTAGGCCAGGCCGTCGGGGTTGGTGGGCTTGTAGAGAGCTGGAGGCTTCTTCTTTGGCAGGTCGTCTGCAGAGCAAACAGAATCAAACAGAATCATTCGGTTCTGTTGGGAAAGCCCAGGTGACCTCTGGGTGACCCCAGAGCTGCTGATGGAGCCGCGCCGCAGCTGATGCTCCACTAACAACCGACCTGCACCTGATGCTGGTCATTAACTCAGAGGTTGGTTCTGATCCAGAACAAACACACTCAGAAAAAAGAAAGTACACCCTCCTGCAGGTGTACATACTTACTTATTATACTTATTTCTCCCATGTTTTAACTGAAATAATCTGCCAGTGGAACCAGTATTGTTTATATTATTATTGTTTTCTCCCTGCAGTGCCTCTCTGGGCCAGCAGGGGGAGAATCAGCAGAAATGAGAGCAGCTGCAGTTCAGACTGATTTTACTTTTTCTGGGTTTTACATGTTTTTATGTCAGCAATAAAGAATTAATTTTTCAAGATTTAAATTCCTTCCTAGTAAACGACTAAAAGTTAAATTTATGAAATACATTTTTGATAGAAAGAAACCCAGGATGATAGGAAGGATGTATTTTTCTTTCTCTTTTTCTGACCATTAAAATATTTCTGATTGATTAAAACAGAAGACGTTTTGTACCGGTGTCCAGAACCGGAGGCCAGTTCCTGATGTCCACGGTGGCCGTGGCCTCCTTGGAGCGCAGCAGCTTGCAGATGACGGCCGTCGTCATGACGCAGGCCGAATGGCTGACCTGCGGGGAGGAGGCAGACATGTTGGTTTGTGTTTTCAGCGCCGATGGTGCAGCAGCGCTGATGGTGCGGCGGCGCTGATGGTGCGGCGGCGAACCTCGACGATCATCTTGACGGTGGGCAGCGTGGTGGAGATGTTCTGGGGGTGAGGCGGCCGCACCGTGATGGGAACGCAGCCGGCGTACAGGCAGCCGTAGAACGCCGCGATCAGATCGATGCCTGCAGGCGGAGCAGAGAGGAGAAACCTGAAGAAATGAAGCTGGAGCTAATAATTGATCCAATTAATTTATCGATTATTCAGAAGATTAACTGATTAAACAGAGAAATTCTGAAGATTTTTTATTTTAGTCTTTTTTATGCAATATTAAAAATACATTTAAAGACACAAATAATTTAATACATTTTAAAATAAAAATAAACATCATATTGTGTGAAATGCAATAACAGCATTCCTTTAGCACAGGTAGCAAAGGATGCAGCTAAAAACGACCTCAATAAATACTCAGCCCTTCCAGCACAGTGCAGGTTATTTCTGATTAGTTGGTCAATAATTGGATTAAAACCTGATTAATAGATTTTTTAACAGAATGTGAACCAGGTGAAGAGCAAATTCACGGATGAAGTTTTTTTCCATCTTATATTCAAAATGTATATTTTTCTGTACAGTTTTGGCTCAATTGCTGGACATACTGTGTTGCTCTTCCAGCGTTGACATATTTTGCCATTGAATCGATTAGTAAATTAGCTGACGATTATTTTAGTAATCGATTAATGGCGACTCATTGATCAGGCCAGTGCATCCGGTCTGACCTGGTGGGTAAACCAGAGCCACATGGTCTCCCTCCTGCAGGCCTCCCCTCTCCATCAGCAGAGCTGCGACTCGCTCCGCCCGCTTGTGCAGCTGCAGACAGGTGAGGGAGCTCGACACCGCCCCCTGGGGAGCAAAAGATGAGACAACCGGACTGAATGTCCACCGTAACACAATCTGCGGCTGGATGGGTTGATCTGAGGAAGAGGGCAGTTACCCGGGAGCTGAGCAGGGTGTAGAGGACGTGGTCCGGGGTGGTCTGGGCTCGCCACTGCAGGATTTCTGACAGGAACAGAAACTGGAAACAAAGACCAACATCAGACGAGTTCAACGAGACCAAAACTGAAGTTCTTCAGCACTCCCTATTCAAACTGCAGCAGAGATGCAGAACTGAGCTTTTCTGTCTAATTATTGGAGCATCAGCGTTTAACAGGAGCCATAAAGCACCGGAGCAGGACTGCAGGGCGTCTTTAAACACATCTCAGTCTCAAATGGAGCCTGAGTCACCAGAGCTGCTGACACTAATCAATACATCAGGGTGTTGAATCTGATGGACTCCTAGTTGTCCTGAATTTCAACCGATTCAGTCAGAAACAGAAGAAAAGCAGTTCTGAACTTTTGTCCGACGGCTCAGAAAGGCAGAAACAAAACCAGCACAGCAGAACGTTTAGCATCTGATCTGCAGAAATCTCAATCACACGTTCATCAATCAGTTCATCAAGGTGGACTGATTCAGCAAAACTGTATCATTTTTCTGCTGCCAAACAAGATTTTTGATGCATTTCATCTTGTTTTGGTAAAAATATGGCTGAAATGTCTGAGGCTTTAATAATAAGGAACCAGGCTTTACATACCAGTAATATTTTTAGCCTAAAATAAAAATGGAAATGGACTTTAAGCGAACAGCTGATGCAGATCGTCATGACAGAAAACCTGAAGCTCATGCAGAGGCAACATGTAATGACATCCTGCAGCTCCAGTTTCATAACAACAGAATAAATAAAAGAAATGCTAGAATCTATAAAACACGGGAGGTTTTTAGTACAAATAAAGTGCTCACTTTTAACTGCTGAACCTGGAAGGTTTTTCTGTATTTGTGGAGTCATTAGCAGTTATTTCAATAATAAATCTGTTAAACTTTCTCCTGATGTTTTTTCAGTAGAGATGGAGGTCGGCTGAAATGTGATTTTTATTTATCGAGGAACCGGCAGAAAGTTTTTCTTCAATATTTGCTGGAACTGAAACGAAGTTTTCCTGAATGGATCCGAATGTTTCCAGGTTTGGATCTTCTCACCTGGTCGTTGTCGTCGGTCTGCCCCAGGTCTCTGCCGCTGGCCTGAGCTATCCTCTTCCCCGACACCAGGTTCCCCACCATCACGGAGGCGGGTCCGATCTCTGCGGCACACGGACGGAACCGGGATCACGACCCGGATCGGCTCCGGCTTTTTTGAACCGGCCCGACCGGGAACAGGCGAGTCTCACCTGGCTGCTTCTGCCGCGGTTTGGGCAGGTTGGTGACGCAGGTGTGGGGGCACATCAGGACGTTGCAGGGGTGCAGCCCCCCCTCCAGGTACAGCTGCTTGATCTCCGACAGGTGGATGCCGCCCAGCGGCGTCTTGGGGAGCGTGTTGGCCGGAACCAGAGCCAGGCAGAACACGCCTACGCCGTGAATGCTGTCGATGGCCTGAAGAGGAGCAGATCCCACAAAATCTGTCGTTTCAATCCATTTCCTATCAATAAAACTTATTACCTCCAATTCTGAGGAGCGATGAATAACAGACGAGTAGGCCTCACTGTTGCTCTGGCAACCCGACATAAAAAACTGAACCGTCACTGACAGTTTCTGAAGTTCTGAAAGATCCGTGCAAACCACACTGTTTCTAGTTTCCAGTCTTGCAAATACCAAGATGTAGGAGCTTATTTTAAATCTGTAATTTCTAGTATGGATAAAGAGCTGCTAATTCCACAGGCAGATCACTTGGCTAATCATTTTTTCTGCTAAGTGAAATAATCTATTCCTTTTTGCATCTATATTCATAGACTGACTGAAAATAAGCTTATTTATATTGTTGGAAAGTTATTTTCATGTTAGTTTTGTTTTCTATTTGCAGTAGAAACTAGAGCAAAGGAGTTGTTAACATTTAGTTTTGGCAGTGCAGGCGTCCCGTACCTGCAGCACCCGGCTCATCCACTGGAAGCTGTCCTCCTCCGTGGAGTCGGGCCTCTGCTCGGCCACCACCACGATGCGCTCGTCTCTCAGCACCGTCACGGAGAACACGGCGATCCTGCAGAGAACGCAAACACGGTCGGCGCCGGACCGAAGCATCGGGTCAGAGGTCAGGACGGACCTCCAGGACCAGTCACCGACATCAGCAGTAGTGCATATTGTCCTGGACGAAACCATCAGGTGTCGGCACGGATAATCCATCTCATTTGTTTTTGCAGCTCCTATTTAAAGCACCGTTTGGCTTCATGTGCCAAATTATTCAACTTATGTAACAATAAATATAGAAAAGCATAATTGCATTAAAAAATGAGTCCAGATGAAGGTGATCTGAGATTTTTGGGAGTTTCTAAACACTTCTTGGATAGTTAATTAATTATTATAACGATTAATCAATTTTTCTGACAATTATTCTGACGATTAATTGATTTGTATGATTAATCTATTAATTTATCAATTATTCTCACGAACAATCAATTCATCTGACAATCAAATATTCTACTGACAATTAATTATTATGACATTATTATAATTATTGATTAGTCTAACGATAAACTAATAAAAACTGCCGTATTCTGCAAGCTGTATTTAATCACTAAGGCTTTTTATTCAATATTAAACATAAAAATAAACAATAAATAAATAAACAATATTAAACAGGAAAATAAACACTGAGCCTAAATGCAGCAATATTCCTTTAGTGATCATCAGAAGATTCATCTGCGTTAGAAATATCTTTCTAACACCAACATGTTGAAATCTGCTTGACTTTACGTTGATTCTGATCTGCTGAGTGAAATAAAAGCTTTTTTAGAGTTTCTATGCTCCAGTTATCATTAACTCATAACTATAAAAGTTCAATATTATATAGATTAATCACGATTAATTGTTTGAGCCCAAGTTAATGCGGACCAACTGTGGGTTCCTGCAGCTGAAACGTGGAATCGCTGCAGTGAGCCTCATCACAGCCTGTCGGGTAAAAGATGAATTTCCTGCTCAGCGGCTTTGGATGCAATTAAGTTTCTCCGTTTTGCTGCGTCCCGATTCATCCGCCGTCGCTCGACTTCATTAGATTCATAATGCGGCGGGCGCGGCTCATTCATCACCGCGACAGCAGGGAGTGACGGCGCTCCGGGTGGGGGCTCCACTCACCGGCCCCTGTAGACGAACTTCATGGGCTCCACCGCCAGCGCCGTGGCGACGATGTCGTCGGCGTTGTGCCGCCGCCCGCTCACCATGATGAGGCCGTCCATTTTCCCCGTGATGAAGGCCAGGCCGCCGGGTCCGATGAAGCCCAGCAGGCCGGTCCGCACGAAGGCGTACTCGCTGATGAGGCCGCCGCCGGCGCTCGCCGGGTACACCTGCGGGTACAGGAGACAGCGTCACCGTGGCAACCAGCCAGGTGTGCAGCCCGGAGGCGGAGAGCAGAAAAAATTCAAACTGCTGGTGGAAAAGCAGGGAGCCTGAAACCAGACGTCAGGTTTAATCATTTCTAATCAACAACCAACATTTTCAAGGTCTAAAATATCAAAACTGAAACTTTTGATTCTTAGTGGCCAATAAATAAATATAATAAATAAATCAGTTTTATTGATTCATTGATTTTTGGTGTTTGAAGATTTATTTTTAGGAAAATCTGGATTTTTACAGCTTATAATTACTTACATTTGAATTCAGATCAACTCCACAATGAAATACAACAGCCAGGTTAAGTTTTTTATTACCAGAATAAAATCATAATATTACAAAAATAAAGTTGTAATATCAGCAAAACTAAGTGGAAATTTTATAATAAAACAAAACAAAAAAAATATTATTCCAGTCATCTTTCATTAAAACTAGTTTTCTGGTAATATTGTCTCTATATTCTCATAATTCTTGTATTCAGGCCTTAATACTTCGTCACAGACGACGGCTGGAATAAAAGACACGTTTTGAATTCTGTTATTTAGAAAAGAGAGCAAGAAAGATTAAAATCGGACATCAGATCTGTTTAAATTCTGAGTTTGTTTCCTCAAACGTTGTTTTATGAAATATGAACATCCAGTGCTTCCTTCTGCAGGTTGAACACCTGCAGCAGGTTTGGGTTTGTGCAGAGCTGCGTCCTGCAGCGCCTCACCTCGAAGGTGTTCTTGGTCATTCCCGTCAGGCCGTAGTAGGACGTTCCAGTGGCGACGGAGCAGACGCAGAGTTCACCGATCTCGTCCGTCTGGCAGAGCTGAGGGACGCCCTCGGGCTTCACCACGCACACCAGGCCTGGGACGGGAATGAGGACACACGGCCAGCGGTTAACGGCCAGCACCTGGTTCTGAAAGTGGACCAGGCGTCTGCAGCCTGCAGCAGCTTTAAATAGGCCGTTCTAGTCTGAGTTAAGGCTGATGTCTGTGTACCAACAGAACCAGAACTGGGTTAAAGCTGAGAGCGATCAGCATCACGCAAGACCCAGAGAGGCTTTAATCAAATGAAAGATTAATATTATTCACTTGCTGGTTAATGGAAAGAGTGATTATTGTACTTTTAATGCAAAAACACAAAATCTTTTGAAATACTGATTGAAATCAGATGAAACTTCAGGAAAATGTAGTAGTTTGTTTTAAGTAAATAATTTCTTAATATTAATGAAAATGCCACATTATTTCAGATTAACAAAGGAAAAATGTCTCATTATAGATGAAATAATCTGCCAGTGGAATTAGTCCTGTTTGTCATGGAAGGACCAACGAGCCACAGGTGGCTCCAGAGCCGCATGTTGAAGACCCCTGAGACGTTCTGATTGGACAGAAGTTTCCTGTCACAATAAATCAATTAAGCAAGATAAACTAAAACAAGCTCAATAATTTCCATTTGCATGATTTATAGTTTTTCTTTTCTCTCTTTCTACCGAACCTGGTCTCCAGTCTGATGTTTGGGTCTCAACAAATGACTGCTGCACATTTTCTTTATTATTTAGAAGAACCTGAATCAATCCGTGTTGCTGTTCAGCCATAATGACTCAGAGGATGAACTGTTCATCAGGTAAAACCAGAGAGTGAAGCCTGCTGCTCAGGACGGATGGCAGCTTTGATTAACTCTGGTTTCTGCGTTTTTCTGAACTTCCACAGGGAGAGCAGTGATGAGTGGAGAGAGCGAGCCCCAGAAAAATGGACAATGATTAAGAGGAGAGGCCACACATTCATACGCCCTCCGACTAATTCAACAGTTTAATGGACTTAATGGATTCTCTGCCCTGCAGAGCATGAAACTCTGACAGCTGATAGTTTAACTCTTCACACGGCTCAGATTCTGCTGCTTCACATTTATTAACATAAAAAAGTTACAGTAATCCAGTCAGCATTAATATTAGAGTTTACAAGACAATCCCAAAACTTTCCAAAGATATTTTTGCATCTAAACATGAACATTTTGTGAAGGACAACAACAAAGTAAGAGAAAATAAATCAGTAAAGTTTCCTATGAATCTGGAGTTTCTTGAATGAAATGGAGGCTGAGAGAAGGAAGGATGAAGGATGCAAGAGAGGAACAAGGAAGGAAACAAGGAGATAGAAAAGGAAGGAATTAAAACACACAAGAAAGGAAAGAAGGAGAGAAGGATGAAACAAAAGAGGGAAGGAAACCAGGAAGGAATAAAAGAAGGACAAAAGGAAGGAATCACAAAGCAAGAAGGAAGAAAACATAGAAGGAAACAGAAAGAACTAATGATACAAAAAATAAATATAACAAAGAAGGAAAAGCAGGAAGGATAAATGGAAAGAAAGCAGCAGGAAGCCGTTACCTCCTGGTGTGACGGTGCCGACGTCCTGAACGGTGAGGACAGACAGACGCTCCTCCGTGTCCACCCGCACCACGCCGTAGCTCAGACCCTGCATGGACAGGACGCCGCGGCCCGGAGGCTGGCTGCTGTCCTCCACCGGCCTGCACACACACACACCGCATGCACACACACACACACCGCATGCACACACACACACACACCGCATGCACACACACGCACACCCAGACACACACACACACACACACACCCATCAGCTGCTGGCTGAATGCAGCCGTTCAGCATAAACGTGTTTGATTGCAAATTAAAAAGACTGGTCAAATAAAAAGCTGAAAAGTGTGGAGTACATTTTTATTCACACTGCAAAAACACAAAACCTTTCCAAATGTTTTTGTCTAGTTTCTAGTGCAAATATTTTAGGACATTTGGAAACAGACTAAACTAAATTACTTTTCATCAATATATAGTAGTTTGCTTAAATGAATAATTCCTTAATGTCGATGAAAAGAACTAGTTATAAGTGAAATAACATCTCAGTGGATCTAGTTGTTTTTTTAAATCAATTGTAAGGAATTATTTACTCATAATAAGCTCCTATCTCTTGCTGAAAAGTTGCTTCTAAGTTGTTCTTATTTCAATTGTATGAAGACATTTACATTATAAACTAGACGATTCTGGACGATTCTGTGTTTTTGCAGCGCAATCTTCCTGATATTTTCAGATTTTTATTTGAAAATGATCAACTGTAGTACAAAATCTGGAAAACTCTGCCTTCTTCACCAGGTTTTCAGTCTGTGGATGTGTTTGCATGCCAGAGGAACGTGAAGCAAGCTTCATGTGTTCAGATTCCCGACGCAGCGTGTTTACCTCCTGATGGCGACCGTCAAGGCCTCAGGCGAGCTGGCGCAGGGACAGATGACCTCTGCCCTCAGCCCTTTGGTCTGAAACACGTTGAGGAAGGCGTCACAGGAGGAGATGGACCCTAAAACACAGGATCATCCACAAACACTCAGAGAAAAATGTAAAAAACAAAGACACATGAATTCTGCATCAATTTTGAATCAAAACCTATTTTGATCTATTTTTATCAGATCAATCGTTGATTAATCGTCAGGCTAATTAACTAATTATAAAACTAATCAATTAATCAAAAACACCATTAAGCCTCAGACTAAACCGTTAATTGCCAGGCTAATCAATTAATAGTCAGAATAATCAATTAATCATCATAATAATTTAGTAATCAGCAAACTAACTGATTAATCATTGGACAACTGATTAATTATCAAAATAATCAATTAATCAGATGAACCAATTAATCGGCAGACTAACCGATTATCCTATAATCAATAAATTACTAGAATATCATAAACCGTCTGAATATTCGTTCACTAAAATAACTTTTTACTAAAACTATTGTTGCTGCAGCTCCAGTTTAAGATAATCACAGATTTTATGTCTCATTTTTAACCAGATGTTTGTTGATCTGATTTCTGTTTCTTCCTCCAGGTTCTCAGACTTGACTTGTCCACACAGAGACGTTCTGTCCTGACCCGCTTCCTCCATCTCCCAGCAGCAGAGAAGCAGAGCAGCAGCTTACAGGGATTGGAACCGTCGGCCACCAGCAGCATCCGCAGCGAGCTCAGGTTGATGTCTTTCTGGTCCTTGTGGGCCACCAGAGCCCAGTGCATGTCTCTGGACTTGACGCAGGCCACCTTGGCTGCAGGTGGAAGCGCACATGCAGGGAGTTAACGTCTAATCTGCCTGACAGGAAGGAGAGGAGAGCCGGGAGACGGAGGCTGACCTTTGTACTGGCAGACCTTCTGAATCCACGACAGAGGGTTGACCTTCATTAGGGAGTACGGCACGCTGATCACATGCATCATGTTCATCACACTCTGCAAACACACACACACACACACACACACACACACACACACACACACACACACACACACACACACACACACACCCCCACACACACACACACACCAGCTCCTGCTTATTTCCTAGCTAAATACGCAATTTAAGATTTCTAAGATAAACTTCTAGACAAATTTCTCAGCGTCATTATTGACAATAAACTCAACTGGAAACCACAACAGGTACGTCCAAAGCACCTGTTCAACAAATCCAGCTCGGTCACAGATTACATCACATTACTCTGCTGATCATTAATCTCACTCTATTCTAATCCAGGGTAATAGTTACAGAAACTACACTACAGGCATTAAGAGCAATAATCGTAATCCGTACGATGGGACATGCAGAAAACACGGTTTGTAAAATCTAAATAATTCAAATTGTCAGTGAAACTACAGAAGCTCCAATACTTTACAAAACCAAAAATAAACAATTACTGGAAAAGAATAAAACATATTTATATGTGAGTCAAAGTTTAAAACATGCAAATTAAGAACTGCTAGAATAAAGTTTTTGCATTAGTAAGTGGAGTCAAAGTGTGGAACCATAAAACTGGACAAACCATCACATGATTAGTGATTATTGTTGGATACGATATATAATAGCAATAATCAATTATTGTTGGTGTGATTTGGTGAATTTAAAAAAAATAATGATTGTTCATCCCCTCTAATTACAATTAAACAGTTCGTTATATAAATATATATACATGTCTGGACAATACATGCAGTAAATGTAAGATTTCTGATGTTTTCACATTCTGCTTCATGTTGGAAGTATTTCTGAGAGGAACAGAAAACCGTCTGGTGTGTGTTCTCACCGTCAGGATGCCGTGCCACAAGCCCACGTCCTTCTTAAAGTCCAAGACGTTCACTATGGTTTCAGCTGGACAGAGGAGGAGAAAGGGTTAACCCTCCATCAGAGCAGGAGGAACTGCTGTGTGCGTGTGTGTGTGTGTGTGTGTGTGTGTGTGTGTGTGTGTGTGTGTGTGTGTGTGTGTGTGTGTGAGGATACCCTCGGTGTAGCTGCAGGACTGGGTGAGAGCTTGGCAGTGTGTTAGCAGAGCGATCCTCGTTACGGTGACGCCCAGAACGCTGCCGTCCTTACAGGTTTTATACTGACAGGGAAACAGCAGACGGAGCTTTCAGCGACAAGCTAGCAAAATCTTTAGCTTTAATCTGAAACGTCACGCAGTTTAAATGTAAATCAGATGAATGTGTCCTTCATTCTGCTGTAGATCTTCTGTCAGAAATGTTTCATTCTTATCCGGAAATCCTCGCAAATCAGTAATTCCTCAGGACTCGTTCTATTCCCAGATTATTCCATATATAGCAAGACAGTTTCACATGTTTTAGGTGAAATGATCTGTGAATGTTGTTTTGTGAATCTCCCTCAGACTCTTAAATGGGTTTTGCTTCCTAGCTCTATCCAATTTGTGGTTATTTTTTTGTTTGTGCATCTTTTTTCTACCACAGATCTTCCTTCAACTAAACTTTCCACAGGATTGCTTGGGGATTTATCTCCTGTTGGCAAACAGAATTCCATAACGAGCTTCTGTGAAATTCTAAAACAGTAAAAGCTTTTTCTATTAGTTTCTTTTATCACTGTGTGTATTTAAGATGCATAACGTGACACTCTTTAACTGAATTAGTGCCATACATGTTTTTTTGTTGGTTTTTTTTTAATTAAATATTGAATTACTATAAAACTTGAAGCTGTGCAGGTTTCATTGCATCTGACAGAGGACAGCCGGTTCTGACCCGAACAGGGAGCTGCCGGTTCTGACCCGACCAGGGAGCTGCCAGTTCTGACCCGACCAGGGAGCTGCCGGTTCTGATCCAAACAGAAAGTTGCCAGTTCTGACCCAAACAGGGAGCTGCCAGTTCTGACCCAAACTGGGAGCTGCCGGTTCTGACACAAACAGGGAGCTGCCGGTTCTGACCCAACCAGGGAGCTGCCGGTTCTGACCCAACCAGGGAGCTGCCGGTTCTGACCCAGGTCCGTCTGGAAGCTCACCTCTATGTACGCCGTGTCGTTGTTTGCGTCCTTGATGTGGGGGAACCAGTCTCTGGGAGGCTTGGACAGATGCTTGGACTCTGTTACGAACCACAGCAGCTTGGGCCATCCTGCAGGGGGCGCTAACATGTAAATTCCTGCTGAGCGCAGTGTCAGCCATGATTAATGACCTGCACTCCAACCTTTGAACTGCGGGATCTCTCCTGTTGCGCTCTTTGGGAGACCCTTATGGCAGGCATCGCTGGTCAGCGCCACGGTAACGCCGCAGCTGCCCAATAAAAACCCGATCTGCTGGCTGCCGGCATCCTATTGGACGACAGAGGGAAGCAGGAAACGACAGTCACCATTTAAATCAACAACTTATGTGTGAGATAAAGGGTCTGAATGCTTTTGGAGACGCACCAATCAGTCGGTTGGAGACCAGAATAAACTGATTTCCCCTCACAAATACAGAAAATATGACATGTTTTCCAGTTCGTTCGAGGATAAAAAGTAAAATCTGACATTTCTAGAACAGCGCGGCTCTTTATGGCAGCAAATCTGCTACATTTGCTCTGATTTATTCTTTTTTCTTTTATTCATCATTTTTCATGTTGGATCATTAAATGTTTGGACAATTATTCCCTCTGGGTTTGGATGCTGTGAAGCTGGAAGGATTCCTGATCTTACGTTTTTACTTTCAGACAGTTTTTATGATGGGTAACCATGGCAACGAGGCATTGTTTCACAACTGGGAGCCGCTGATTAGCATCTCAAAAGCTCAACTAGCTCCTGAACTACGACCCCAAATCCCACGGAGCTGAAAAGAAGGAAGTTCAAACCATCCGTCATTCTAACCAAACGGCCAGACAGATTTAATGAGGCGCAGCAAAAACAAAGGAGGAGGATTAGCAGCTAGCTAACAGCTGATGATGTCATCCAGGACGTGCTGTCCAGTTCCAGGAATAATCTTAAAATTCCTTTATTTTCTGCTGAACTCAAATCATCCATCAGGTCACCTGACCTCCAGCTGGGAGAGAGAAGTCAGGGCTGACCTTCCCTTCATCCAAATTTAGGGTCACAAAACAGAGCAGCTAACATCTCTGCAGACCCTACACATGCTGGACATGCTTAAAGTAAAAGTCAGCGCTGCAGAGCACCATTTGCAAAATAAATAAATGTTATGAAATTACATATTTGTACCTAATGTTTCTTGTTTGCACTACAATCTTACACTCTAAAAACACAGATTATGCAGATTGTGCAGATTATTCCACTGATAATAAGACATTTATTTTTCTATGTTCTCAGTGAAATAATCTGCCAGTGGAACTAGAAGTTCTCCAACAATATTAAGAAATTAATAACTTTTAAAAAAGCTCCTTTATCTTGCTGTAAAGTTATGTATAAGTTAGTTTTGTGTTTTCTAGAAATCTGCAAACTAGAAACGAGACAAACTAGTTGGGAAGACTTTGTGTTTTTGCAGTGTCGTCAAATAAATCTGATTGTAAATGTTGCATGAAACGTCTATAGGATTTCTTCTCTTTTGTTTCAATCATAACTGGACTCATCAGATCTGATCTCAAAGGAAACTAAATGGACATGAGGAGGAAAAGCCAGATTTGTGCGTTATAAATTTATCTACAGTGTGCAAATAAACTGATGCTTGAGCTGCAACGACATCTTAAACCCTGCAGCAGAAACACAGGCTGCTGGCTGGGGGTTAAGAGAGGTGGACAGCGCGCAGCAAGACATTTTCTTACTGCAGCAAGTAATCAGAGTGTAACCATGCCAACCGTGACAGGCAGCACGTCTCGGTGTTGGCTCCCAGATTAGAGGACTCGGCGTGCCGAAGCACGGCTGGCAGCTGGAGACTCAGTAAACCGGCAGAACGGACATGTTTCCAGATAGAAGCTGCTGTCAGAGGACAGACAGGCCTCAAACCGGTTCACACCTCAGAGGTCAACTACATGACCCCGTGTCCCAAAACAGGCGGGGGGCGAACAGACACATGTTTCTCCTCCCGCTGCTCCCGGTTCAGACCGGATTAACTTCTCAGGAATACTCGTTGCCAAAAGCAGATAAGACCGACGATCCGAAGTAGTTTTCCCATCATCACCGACAGGACAGAAACACATCCAGCAGGAGGTCAGAGGTGAAACGCTGACAGGACGAGTTGGAGGGGATTAACGTCACATCACCTGACCTCCAGCTGGGAGCAAAACGAGGAGCTCAAAGAGCCAAGAAGAAGAAGAAGAAGAAGAGGAGCGTCTCTGATTGGCTGGCTGACTTACTTTGCGACTCAGCGGCACCTCGATGGGAACAGGAACCACCTCAGCCAGCAGGCAGCCGTAGAAGGCCACCATGAAGGCCACCGGGTCGTTGTTAGGAAACACCAACGCCACCTGCAGGACACAGAGAGAACAGCAGAGAGGCCTGGTTTAACCAGCAACGCAAACAGACGAAACCAAAACTGCAAAAACACAAAATATTCTCAAGTATTTCTGTCCTTTGAAACTTTTTTTCGTAAAGACATTTTTTCATGTTATAAGTGAAATAATCCACCAGTGGAATTAAAACTTTTTCCATCAATAAAGGAATTATTGACCTGAAACAAGATTCCATGTTATTGGTAAGTTATTGGTTTTGTTTCATTTGCTCTAGAAACCAGACAAAAATACTGGAAGGAAAATACTGAAGGAAATAAGAATTGTTTAAATCAAAGCATTTGTTGGAATGGCCTAGTCAAAGCCTAGTTCTACCTCAAACATCTGCACAGTCACCCAACGTCATCAGCCTATTCTATTTTGTAAATAATACACATGGCTGCCACTCTTCTCTTCTGATTTTTGCTAAATTTACGTCAAAACATCCCAGAATAAATGGAAGTCCAAAGGTTTAAAGGACATGAAAACATTTGAACTTTAAAAGTCTTTTTTAGTCAGATTGAACCGATGAGATTCTGTCTGCACTCAGCTTCATATTTGCTTTATTTCTTGTCTTACAGACGGTGTTACTTAGGAACAGAACAGCGAGTCGATCTGGCTGAACGGATCGTAGATGTATTTTTATAGAAGCCAATATGTCAGATGACGTCTGATGAGCAGCTGATTCATGAAGGAGCCGGTGTCTGACAGGCAGAAAGAGGAAGCTGCGAGGGGTCGGAGGTGACTCACCCGATCGCCCGGCCGCACCATGGGCTCCTGCTTGCTGCCCAGTTTGTGGAGGATGTTGTAGGCCAGCTTGATGCTGCGCGACCACAGCTTCCCTGCAGGGGCAGCACAGAGAGTAGGAGTTGGAAAAGGTCCACAGGAAGTCAGAATGAGAATCTTTGTTCTCTAAAAAAGGTCTGGAAGAAGAAAGTGCCATCGATTGATTCAGCTCCTAATAGACTGATAGAGCGTCAGCCGGGAGAAACTAAGAACACCCTCAATGCTTAATGCCATTTATAAGACTAAATGATCCTGATTATTTGATAATCATCAAGTCCAACCAGCTGCTGCTGCAACATTTTGACACATGAAGCCAAATTAAAGATGTTTGGTCAAAAAACAAAACCCTTGTTTGGAGAACCGGCACTTTTCATCAGTATTAGAAAATTACTGACTTTAAACAACAATAAGCTCTCAATCTTTGCTGAAAAGTTACTGATAAGTAGGATTGGGTGATATAATCAGCATCCTTAGCAAATCTAGCCGATGATTGGCAGCGATAAGACCCGCCTCCTGACGCTGACTGGCTGTTTCCGGTCTTCAGACTGCAGCAGTAGCTCAGCCAGAAGGTGGAGGAGATCAACGCTTTCACAGATTATCCGTCTCATAAACTGTCATCACTTGGTGACAGTTGAAACAAATATGGAAGAAAAACATATTTTTGTAAAAGTTAGAAAAAATTGCTTCAACTGAAATTCATCAAGACAACGATTAATCAAAATTCTAATTATGAAAGGTTTTTTTTTATGATACTTAATAAACAATATGACATATTCCCACAAATTAAGCTGTAAGTTAATTTAGTCCTCTTTCAGGTATATTAAGGTATTTTAGATTTCGTGGTTTTGCAGCGTGGCTGTGAGCGCCAGGCCCGCAGAGCGTCGGCTCACCGTATGTGAGGACGTAGAGGGGTTTCCCCGCCGTGTCCAGGCTGGTGAGGCAGGGCGCTTTGGGGGAGATGGTGCCCCAGCGCTGCAGCGCCGCCTCCAGGGACGGAGGCCAGTTGGTGACCACGCCCAGCGGCTCCCCCCTCACCGGCATCATCTCCGCCCCCTCCGGCCGCGGCTGGTTGGGGTCCGGCTGCTGGACTGGAGGGGAAGCAGAGACGCTCTGAGTGTCGTAACGTTTCGCTGCTGCAAAACCAACATGGCTGCAGTTACTGACGGCAACGAGGCGAAGCAGATTTTAATGGATTTCAATTTCATTTGATGAACACAAAGCATCGTTTTGAAGTGGAAAGAAAATTATTCCTGGTTTACAAATTAAACACAACATAAACATATTTACAGATAAAGTTTTTCTTCTCTGAAATCTAAAGTTTAAACATTCTTTGCACAAAATCTATTCTTAAATGGTCTTTCAAGAGTCTGGATATTTCAGTTAATGATTAATCGATTACTAAACCGGTTGATGGTTATTTCAATAATTGATTAATTTGTTTCATTGCTTCATGTATTTGGATCCTTCTTGTATAAATGAGGAACTGGAAGACAGTCAATGGCTGCTGACTGAAAATGGACAAGCAGGACAGATGGTGAAGTCTGAGCAAACCGAGCATTACGCCTCAGAGTGGCACAGGTCAAAGGTCATCTTCATCTCTGATGTTCTGTTAACATTTAGTCTCCATCTACGGCTTCTGACCTTCATTAACTGTATGGAGACGCATTCATCGTGGATTTTTAGAAGGAAATTAAACCAAAAATCTCCAGGAAGATGTAAAAAACATAATATCAACCATAAAGTTTGATATTAATATAACCATCAGTGAAAACTTTATGAGCGATCGCCGTTTGCCAGAACGTCGGGGTTTCATTCCCTCACATGACTCCTTCATGTTCATTGTAAAACATTAAAGTTCATTATGAATCTCTGCAGACAGAAAACTTTAAAATAAACTCTGACAGACGAGAACGTCTTAAAGGAAACAAGGAAGGAAGGATGGAAGAGAGAAAGAGGAAGGAGGATCGCAGGAAGGAGATGAAAAAAAAAACACAAATATAAAAAAAAACAGAAAAAGAAATGGAGAGAAGGGGAAGAGAGAGTACAAGGAGAAAAATGAACCAGACAAGCAATGAAGAAAGGACACAAGGAAGGAAATGAAACAAGGAAGGAAAGAAGTGGAGGAGAAAGAAGCAAGGACAGAAAGAGGTGCAAAAGGAAGGAATGGAGAGAGAAAGGACATATAGGAGAAAAGACAAAGGATCAGATGAAAAAACACAAGAACGAAGGATAGGAAAAGGATGGGAAGAAAGAAGGAAGGAATCATAGAAGGAAACATGGAAGAAAAGGAATGAACAAAAGAGAAATAAAGGATACGAAGGAATCAAAGAAGTGGAATGAGGAAGGAAGTTAGTAAGGATAAGGAAGGAATTAAAAATCTTTCCATATTAGTATTTTCGTCTGCAGCTTTAAGGTTCTCGCGATGACATAAATGTTTCTATGGCAACTATTCACCACGGAAACTCATAGAAAACCGTGCAGAAGTTTAAGAATCACGACTCGGCATTAACAGAGAACAGCGATCTGACTTCATCTCATCTCGACTGGGAGCGAGTCTGGATTCTGTCAGAAGGAGCCAGAAGTCGGGAATAAAATTAGACTTTTTTTAGTAATAACTCTCCTGGAAATGAAACACGTTGCAGCTGAACTGAGAGTAAAAAGTGAGGAAGGACCGACAGGCAGGAAGTGATGCAGACATAACGGCGGCGTCTAACCCTCCAAAAGCTCATCGAAGTCGTCGACGAAGAACTCGCGCAGCGGCGGCCTGCGGGGCTGCTTCAGCGTGTTGACGAGCTGCTGGATCTTCGCCGACACTCGACTGCTGACCGGAACACCTGGAAGAACCCAGCAGAGACAGCAGGCTGAGAACGGCCGGACAACAGAGCTGGAAACAAAACGGCCGGACAACAGAGCTGGAAACAAAACGACCGGAAAACAGAGCTGGAAACAAAACGGCCGGAAAACAGAGCTGGAAACAAAACGGCTGGAAACGGCCAGAAAACAGAGCTGGAAACAAAATGACTGGAAAACAGAGCTGGAAACAAAACGGCCAGACAACAGAGCTGGAAACAAAACGGCCAGACAACAGAGCTGGAAACAAAACGACCTGTAAAACAGAGCTGGAAACAAAACGGCCTGTAAAACAGAGCTGGAAACAAAACGGCCAGACAACAGAGCTGGAAACAAAACGACCTGTAAAACAGAGCTGGAAACAAAACGGCCTGTAAAACAGAGCTGGAAACAAAACGGCCAGACAACAGAGCTGGAAACAAAACGGCCTGTAAAACAGAGCTGGAAACAAAACGGCCAGACAACAGAGCTGGAAACAAAACGGCCTGTAAAACAGAGCTGGAAACAAAACGGCCTGTAAAACAGAGCTGGAAACAAAACGGCCAGACAACAGAGCTGGAAACAAAACAACTGTAAAACAGAGCTGGAAACAAAATGACTGGAAAACAGAGCTGGAAACAAAACGGCCAGACAACAGAGCTGGAAACAAAACAACTGTAAAACAGAGCTGGAAACAAAACGGCTGGAAACGGCCAGAAAACAGAGCTGGAAACAAAACGGCTGGAAACGGCCAGAAAACAGAGCTGGAAACAAAACGGCCAGAAAACAGAGCAACCAGAACTGCAACTTTAAAAGGCTAATAGAGAAATTTGTTATGGAGTCATTGTTTCAGCTCAGGTCAAAGGTTAAATACCAGGAAGGAAGAAAGGAAGTGAAATGAGGAAGGAAGGGATCAAGGAACTAAAACAGAAGGAAAGGCCCCGCCCCCCACTTCCTGTTCATAGATCTGTTGGCCCCGCCCCCCACTTCCTGTTTACAGATCTGCTGGCCCCGCCCTCGGCTCACCATCGCCCGTCTCCATGCGCTCGGCGTTGCCATACTTCTGCGTGCTCCTGGCGATGGTGCCCATGTTGGACATGTGGTGCCGCTCGGTGTGAGAGTGGGACGAGTCCGACGAGTATCCCGTCACGTCCGGCGGCGCCGAATGGTTCTCTGCAGGAGGACGGACAGGAAGCAGTCAGTCAGTGCCACTTCCTGTTGGCGCTACGCTCCATTAGACCCGTCTGACCGTCACATTGTGTCACATCCTGCTGCGCTCAGCAGTCTGCTGTTCCATGACTCAGCGTTTTGTTCATGTAAGCACTGATGTGAAGCGAGCAGCTTCTCCAAACATTGTCACATAATCTAGTTTCATCTATAAAAAACTGATGAGGTTCTTATCAGGTCAACGTGAATCCGTCCACATTCAGCAGGATTCATTCGATTTTAAATTCAAAAAATGTTCAGGGAAAGTTTTTAAACTTACAGAAGGATAAGATAATCTAAAATATAACATTTTCAAACATTTTTTTAACACAATCTATTCACAAAACACAAATTTAATTAAAAAAACACATTCCCCAATTTCAATAACCAAACTGATTTGATCAATAAGTCATTAGGAATAATAAATATCATTTCATTGGAACAATCCAGACAAGTTAAACTAACTTCCTGCTCATATTAATGTTACAGAACAAAAAACATTACAAAATAAAATCTCAAAAAAAAAAATCCTGCTAAATTGTCTGGCATTTAGCAAACAGAAATAATTTTGGTAATTTGCTAAAATAGTAAAAATTTAGCCTGATTTAACTTCAGATAGTGATAAAAATGTCGCTCTTTAGCTGAAAATAACGTTTTCAAAATTTGGACTTTTAATCAGATGTTATGTTGCACTTTGTTACAAAACTTAGCAGTTTGATTATAAAACTCATTAAAGCTTGAAAACAAAGAATCAATTTAAAGAGTTAAAGCACCTGAAGGTGTTTTACTGAATAAAAGGTAAAAACAAACTAAATTTAGGTCTTTGTGGAGTTTGGATCCGTTTTAGTGGATCATTCTGTAAGCTGGATTTGGGCGGTCTGGACCTTCCCGGTCCGGACTTACCCTCTGACTCCAGAGGCGGCGGCCACAGCATGTCCGATCCAAACTCACAGGACCGCCGCAGAGAGCCGCCGTTCTCCGCCACGCTCAGAGCGCCCTTCCTCTTCAGAGACAGGTGGCCGATTCCTGCAGAAACACGGTGCGTGTCAGAACCGGGTCAGAACACGAGATGCTGCAGGAACAAACGCTGTGACACGGAGCTTTAGTCACCCTAATATCCAGGTTAAAATACTTTATTCAATAAATGAAACGTTGGAACTCATTACTGAAGAATGGGCAGGAAGGAACTCCTGTAGCAGTCTGTATTACAGCGGTTCCCTGGAAGCCTCTGACTAAAGACACTGTTGTAATGAATACTCAGGATTTTTCTCAATTTTCTTCATTTTATTTTATGGCTTTTGATTAAAACAGTTTTAATTTGTGCTTTCTCAATGAGTTATAACCAAATAAAGCTGAAAAAATAAAAATTTGATTATATAGAAAATTAATTTATTTGCCATCTTACTTAAAAGTAAAATGGGAAATTAGGGCCATTGCAAACAGAAAAAAAGATGTAAATTTCCACCAAAGAACCGAGATGAACTTTAGATAAAAACATAAAAGTTTTTTAAAAAATCAGATTTTTGAAACTCCAAGTTTTTCTGGAATATTTCTGAGATTAATTTTGCCGGAAATATACTGCTTTATATATATGTATGATAAAGTTTTCAGCCGGTCACAGGGCGACATTCTCACCATGATGCGACTGTGACAGCAGGCTCTGCTGGTGGTGCGACTGGCCCAGGTGAGGGTGGCCCAGGTGCGCCAGGTGCGCGATGTGCGTGTGCGCCAGCGAGTCGGCCAGCCGCCCGGCGTTCCCGCTGCCTCCGCTCTGCGTGGACGAGGACGACGAGGAGGTGGAGCCCAGGTGGGCGGGGCCGAGCTGGGAGGGCCGGCTCATCCAGTGCTCCATGCCCGTCATGTCGTCGCCCGGCCCCGCCTCCTCCTCTGAGCCCGACGACGAATCGGAGCACAGCGGCGACAGGCCTGGAGGGTCATGGGAAAATGTTAGTGTAACTAATAAAAATGACTACAAAGAAGGGCTGATTGCTTTTAAATGTGGTGTTCAATCTCTATTTGTGCTGCTGGTGGTTTTAGTTCTGCTGTGTATCCGACGAGGAAAAACAATCTGCTATTGATTTGCTGCTCGGTGCCGTTTTGGGTGTTTCTGGTCCTGTTTTGTCTTGGATTTTTGTTCCTGTGCTTGGATCCCAGCAGCTCAGGCTGTTTGTTCCAGAGCAGGCGGGAACACGAAGCGCTAGAAACGGAGGTGAAAATCCCTCCATTCCTGCAGAACTTCATGAGAAAAACCAAACTTTTCCTGATGGCAGTTCCCAGGAAATAAAACATAATGTTCCTGCTGGTCCAAGGTTCACATCCCAGATTAAGATGCACAAGAATGAAGCTTGTTTTGGTTGCATTTACCCAGAATGCCTTGCGCTGTCATTTGCTTCCTGCTTTTGGAGCGGTCTCCACTCTGCTTTTTGTTCACATATGCATTCAAACCGCAGCAGAGTTCACTTTAACCAAACAGATGGACCAGAACTGGGTTTGATTACAAAATTCATATCCCTCCACACCAACCAGTTCAGGGCCAGAAAACAAAACATTTGAGCTTCCAAACAAGAAATTAACTTATAATGATCTAAACTATGGAGATTATTAATGCAAAAGTCCAGAAAGAAAAAGATTTCCAATAAGATAAATTCGCCGCTGCAGAACTGTGACCTTTCAGTGACTGAGGCGAAAAGCTCAGCAGCTCAGAGACACCAAATGTCAGTAATTAGTGAATCGGATCTTGTGGCTTGTCAGTGAAACAGCCACAAGAACCAATTTGGGTCCAACATGCCTGAGGCGGCTGAATTTCCTCCTCTGAACAGCAGATAATTGTGAGAGCAGCCGATACGGCCCGGTGAGCGCCGCTGTGTGCAGACATTTAACGAAGCGTTGCCAGAACGGTGGAAAAACACGACATGATGCGTTCAGGGACACGTCAGCTCCACTTAGCCGTGTTCTCAAAGGTTAAGGAGCAAATTACAAAGGAACAAACTTATTATATTTCCTTCATTAAGATTCAATCAACACCAAAATTATTCCATCAACTGTGGTTATGGATGATCTAATGAGCTGATGTGTGAGGTAAAGGTCAGCTGCGCTGGTCCGTTTTCTGGCCCGTCTCTCAGCAGAAATGCTGCAGAAGGTGACAGGGTTCAGCTCTTACAGCTTCCTATGGCCGGTTTCTCTGTGAATCCCTCCATGGGTTCAACTCGCCACAGAGAATGTGCCTGGTTGCAGTTTTGGGTGGGATGAGCGTTCCTCTGTCAGAGCCGTCTGAGAAACCAGAGAATCCTGTCTGAGCACAGAGCTGCTTCTCTGGTGGAGTCAGGAGAAGCAACTCGTTCTGCTAACATCACAGCTAACGTTAGCATCTGTATGAGGTGGATCAGGGAAAAGCCTGGAGTCCGCCTGGGAGATGACCTGGAGTAGTGAGAGCAGGTTGTGCGTGTTCACCTGGAGGCGTGTAGGCGTCCATGGAGGTCTGCACCACCAGGGAGCGCCGTTTGGAAGGCATGGGCACCGCCATCTTCCTCTCTACGTGTCGCGCCAACACAGCCTGGACCGCCTCTGTGTGGACGTCTGAGGAACAGAGACAGGAAGTGACACGTCTGCAGACACACTGGACCACCTTTAACCTGTTTGTCGTTTTCAAGCGACCAAGTCTTCTGATGTGACCTGCAAAGCCTGAGCCTACTTTTTAATTTTGACATGTCATTCACTGGCTGATTAGTGCAATTATTTATGTTAATTGTGTTTTTCTGTGTTAGCATTTTTCTTAAGCTGGTTGGTATCTAAGTATTGCCAATACTTTCTTCCTATAACATATGTTTTCATATTTTCTGTAAAGTTTTAACATTTTTTAACGCCTCAGCGCCTCTTCCAGCAGGTTTAGCAGGATTTGTGGGGGAAACCCAGAGACGTGTGACTGCAGACAGACTGTGAAAGATTTGCAAGGTGTTGCTCAGTTTGTGAAAAGCACAATAAAACGGTGCAGCTGGTGTTTCTCTGCAACGCAGCGTGGATCAGGCGGGATCCCCGTACCTGATCGGTAGCGCTCGTCTCTGGTTCCGGACGTTCTCCGCCGGTGGAAGCGGGCGGCGGCCGGGGGGCCGAGCGGGGCCCGATGAGACATGGGCCCCTCCATACCTACAGAAGCAGGCAGAAAAGCTTGTGGACACACGGACGGGTTTTACAGGAACAACATGTATATGCACATGAAAGCAACAGATAAGAGCGCAAAAAAGGAAAAACAGAAACATGGAGGTGATTTGAAACGGCAGAAAAATTAAATTTTTCTGACTTCATAACCCAAAATAACCAACATAAAACCAGAAACATGCAGTTCTTGCATCTCTGCTCTGCAACAGAACATCTCTCAGCATCCCTCGACCCAAAGCTCACCCTGGTGTGTGTGATGTGTGTGTGTTTAGAGGCAGGGAGCGACTGCAGCCTGATCAGCGACTGATTCAGAGGAGCAGGCCCAAGCTGAGCTCCAGGGAGTCCTAACCTACATCACTAATGGCGGCTGAAGACTCCATCAATAGAGTACAGTGTTCAGACTACTGTATTCCTCCTGATAGCAGATCGATACTCCAGCAGCGCTATGGGAATATTTCAGCTGAGTGGGCCGAGCGGGTGTGTGGAGGGGGTCAGAGGTCGCTAAATTACCTCCAGCATATGCCCTGATCAGCTTGGACCTCTTCTTCTCATAACCCTTCTGAGTGATGTCCCCTGTGAACAGATAGATAGACAGAGAGTGAGAGAGGCAGTGCTGGCTGCGAGGGACGCTGCTGCTTTCATCAGATATGTTTTGGTTGCACAGAGGATCATCTTTTGGTTTTAGGAAAATCACCGCAGCCTTTTCTGTCTCTCCCAGTCTTCAATGTCTTTATCTGACTGTTAATCAAAGAGAAAAATGTGAACATAAAGAAAACAAAATGTGATGGATGATAATGAAAATGAAGAATGGAAAAACAAGACATAAATCATAACCAAATCACCATCCTCTTATCTGAAATAAACCAATTTTTCATTCAAACAAAGATAACTTGAGTAAAAACAAATAGCAGTTTATAAATTATCTATAAATGTGGAAATATGGTTCCCCTTAATCATGACTTAAACATGATTAACCGCATGGTTCTGATCCAGTTTCACTAGAAACAACCACAACTGGTTGAAGCTTTGTGCAAAGGATCAATAGATCACTTAACAGAGCCTGTCTGACGACATGAAGTAGGCTAAAATATCCCAGAACCAACAGCAGTTCTGAATCTAGCAGCAACATTTAAGAACTGATCAAAAGCAAAGTGAGCTATGTTTCATCCAAATCATGTGAATTTAGAGCGAACTTTAAAAAAGTCTACATGTTTCCATCGACTGATTTGTGGAGAATGGCAAACCAGCAAAGTTTACTACAGCAAAACGTCTAAAACTGATCCAACAAATCCCAAAACAACCCAGAACCACATCTAAAAGTCACTAATGTTACAGTTCATGAGGTAACAAAAACTGAAGCTGCTGCTGAATTATAAACACTTTCCAGAAATCATGTTGAAGATCCCAGAGACTCGAAGGTGTAGATCAGGTTAGTTTCTGTAAAACTGACAGTTTCAGGAAATAAAGCAGCACAACAGTGAAACATGGTGGTGGCAGTGTGATGGTCAGTGGTTGATTCGTTCCTAAACGACTTGGCATGATTCCTGGAACCGTGAAATCTAAAGGGGAAAGACCTAAAGCTTTGGACGTCTTTGGTTCTGCTGTCGGAGCTCCGGGTTCTTCCAGAACCTGCAGATGTTTGCAGGCATCGTTCAACATCAACGACCCCAACGTGAGTTAATGTCAGTATTTTAGTTTTATGTTTGTTTGAATAAATGCATTTCATATTTATAGGACATTGCATAAGGTCTTGTGCATATTGTGCACAACAAGCAGTTGAGCGTGAAATTATTCCTGCTTCTGGCAGATTTAAAAAGAAGATCTAATTTCATCTGTGGAGCAGATTTCAGCAACAAGGCCTGCCAAAATGATTTTTATACAAGGAGATACAAACTCATAGGCAACAATCAAAACATTTAGTTTCATCGTTAATCTTTTTAGAAGCAGCTCTGACCAGGTGGGTTTTTAGTCTATATTTAAAGGCTCTCAATGTTTCAGCTGTTTTGCAGTTTTTTGGAAGTTTGTTCCAGATTTGTGGCGTGTAGAAGCTGAATGCTGCTTTTCCACGTTTGTGGTTTAAAGTTATATTCATTTTGTCAACATCTTCCTTCTGACTGGACGTCATATTAACATTTCCGAGCCTGTCAGTCCGAATCAGGACTTGATTAGAGAACCTGGAGAAAGCTGGCGATTAGGGTGATGGCAGGCAGGTTTTCCAACGGATTGTGGAGACGCGTGAGTGACTCGGTCCAGGATTAACTACCTCAGAGCAGAAGTTCCCCCATCAGTCTTAGTGAGGAAACCCAAGAAGCTACATGAGCTAAACGGCGCTCTGCAACCGAAGACACGACAACATCAGCGGCCGTGTCATCAAACCGAGGGCGGCCATGACAGTGGACAGACGCAGAGGTTGGGAGAGGTGGAGGGTCTTCACTGGCATGGCAACCTTACACCAAACCAACACAATCACCAGCTACCGATCACATCCTCCGGTCTGCACAGCACCGCTAAAATCTGCTGACACTTTCTGGTTTGTCCTATTAAATGTTAAACTGCCTCTCCAGTTGCTGAATATTGATTATTCGTTGGAAGGTCAGGGAGATTAACTGAAGATGCGTAACTTCATGCTTCACAGTTTTCCCAATAGCAGGAGAAAATGGGGAATAATTTGTACTTGCAGAGAAGTGGTGGATGTTTTCCACTCGCTAAGCTATTCTCTAAGTCCTGAAATGCAGACAAACTACCAGAACTCAGGCGGTCATTCACTTCTCCTCAACCTTTTAATGTCTGGTGTTTTGACACACAGTTTTCTAAAATTAAACAAGACAAACAGCTTCAGCAAATGTTGCTAAACCGAGCAGAAAGAGCATCTGTGTGGAGTATTTTCAGCCCTGCTCCAGAGCTGCAGTGGGTGTTTCCTACAGCGGGATGATTTATGTGGAGCCCGACCCAAACAAACCAGTAATGGAGGAACATGTCAGCCGCTAGACTGGGACGGGTTCTGGAGGGCAATCCGTCTGGGTTCAGGTGAACAAAGAAAACAAAATAAATCACTGCTGGGTCGGATCTTTCTGCAGACAGCAGGACTAATGGAGGCGTGTGTCAGCCTGAACACAACCAAACAATAACAGCTTCTTCATCTGCAGAGTTTACAGACATGAGGACAAGAAAGCACTGATTCAGCAAATAATAAAAATACATCATTATGACCTGAACAGGGTTTTACAGCTTTCACCAACTCAACTTTTTAAAACCTTTCCAAGACTGTTATGAAGAAAATGTGAGACCTGGACAGACTAGGAAGGACTGGTGACGCCACACAGCTAGCTAGCAATAGCATATCAGCAGCTAGTTAGCGTAGCTTCAATGGCCTTGAGTCACAAACGCAGTGAAGATGTCTGCGCATCACTCAACGTTTAACCTGTCCTGTGAGAAAACAACTACACAGAAGAACTCAAGATGAAATGGTTCTGCAACATTCAACATGTGTGATTAACAAATTCAAGATAAACATACATTTTCTTTATGAGTTTAAGACTTTAAAGATTCACAGAAACCCTGCCGACCCAAGTTGTATGCAAAGATGTATCATTTACTATGGAAAGCAGTGACCAGGTGCTGCAGATCGTCAGTAGGACGGGTCCACAAAGCTGCTCTTTTTCCAGTTTGCTGGCCTGCAGAGTTCAATGCCAAACCAGAAAGACAACAGCAGTGAGCTTAAGAGAAGAAACTGCTGCTTGACATCAGTTTTGGACGGAGAATTAAGCACATTTCCAAACTATTTGACGTCATTCTGCAGCTGTAAATCTTCCCAGTAAGTCCACCATGATCTCAGAGTTAACTAAAAAACTCACAAGCTCCATCTTAGACTCTGCAGTTGGCAGGTTAAACGTTCTGACAGGAGAGGTGAAGAGGAATGAGCATGTATGGCTGATTGGAAAGGTTTAAAGGAGAAAAACTATCACTAAGGAATTTTTACACCAAAGTCTCAACATTTCTAACATTTTCAGCTGCACTGAGTTAAACAAACCAAACCATTTGAGCAACCTGTTCCCCTCCTCGCCTGTGGGGGCGGTGCACCAAGAACACTGAAAGAAATTACACAAAAACCTCTGACGACACTAAGAGCAACTTCCTCCTTCACCAAATGTAAATAAAAATGAAGTGCCGTCAGATTTCAGCAGTTGGAGGATATCTTTTTGTTTTTGGTAAAGACCACGAGCCGTTTCTCCTGTTAGCGCTAGGCTAGTGTGGTTTTGGTTGTTTACCCAGAATGCCCTGTGCTGTAGTCCACTTCCTGCTATTGAAGCGGTCTGCGGTTTGCTTGCTGTTTGTATATGCATTCAAACCGCATCAGAGTTCACTTCAAATGAACCCAGACTGAGGTTTGTAGGACTTCACTTTGATTACATATTCACAGCTCTCCAAACAAACCGGACCTTCAAACGGACCAGACTAAACAGGGCTGGTGCCAATGTATCCTGAAATGATCATCACACAATCTGTTGAGCACGGTGTGGGAGGCGTGATTCTCGGGCTTCTTTTGTAGACGCCGTAAACTCTTCAGCGGACCGAATGTGAGACGAATCCTGTAGATTCGTCTCAGATGAAGCAGGTTTCTCCTGGAGCAGCGTCTCTGCTGACTTCATGCACAACGTATGCTGAGCTGTGGGGAGTCTGTGGCGTGCAGGGAGGAGATGTGTGAGCAGAAACCCGAATGAGGGGAAAATAAAGCGAATTCGCTGCAGGGTTGTGATGAGAGAAAGGTGTCGGTCTGCAGCTGAATCACAGACGACAGAAAAAACTAAACAGATTTTTTTAATCACCCAGAATCAAATCAAATGGATTGATTTAACTCAAATTTGGAGAGAGAGGGAAATAAAGAGTTGATAATCTGATGGTGGAGAACGGCCAGAACATCTGGGTCCAATCTGCAGATCGGTGCCGGTAAGCTTCGTCTGTGTGCTGTAAAAACGGACGGAGGCCTCCAGCTTCTTCTTCTCCTCTCTGATCAGCCGCAGTGGAACAACATTCTCTGTTCTCTTTTTTTACTCTCCTACAAACACCACCGAGGTCCGTGGGGAGACGCCATCTTCCACTCGCAGCGCAGCAGAGCTGGGAGGGTGTTGCCTAGCAACGGTTCTCTTGGAGAAGGCCTGAGATGGCCATCTTGGATTTGGAGCATCAGATGAGAGAGGTGCTCAAACGGTACCTGCTAAGGTGGATGAATATGTCTGGATCTGGGCTGTGTGTGTGTGTGTGTGTGTGTGTGTGTGTGTGTGTGTGTGTGTGTTGTGTGGTGTGTGTGTGTGTGTGTGTTGTCGCAGGCTAATTAATTCCTCCTCCTGCTCAGTGATTTTAATGACACAGTGCAGCGCAGAGGAGGAATGGCAGCAGCTACAGACTGAAGTTTTTCTGCGGCGGAGCGGTGGAAAGGTCTGCCGCTCTCTGAACACGCTTTTGTTGGGCTGAACACACACCTGTGTGTGATGCTCCTCTGCAGCAAACCCATCAGGCCTGATTTTCTGCTCGGCTCTATCTTAAAGGGACAGGCACCCTTCTGGTCCTGAACT